AAAACTTGTAAAACCCTTAGCAGTCCCATCTCCTCTGGAGAAGAGTGGCTGGTGCCTCCTGTCTTGAGCAAAGGCACTGAAATTCATGTCCAGCAAACTGCATGTCCAGCTCAGCAGGCAGCTGTGCAAGGACCTGGCAGACTCAGTGCACCTCTGCCTCTTCTGCAGGCACGTTGCTTTTCATCCTTTTCTGTGACAAAGGGACCTCTTTTTTCAGGGGGCACTTTAAACCATCTCAGGGTCTTTGCCTTGCAAGTCTCCTTCATTACATCAAACTGCTTTTGACTTTGTTGAGGCTCAGCTCACTTCACTTCCCAGTGGCCCAGTTTCATATCTTGCTTATTGAACCAGGAACAGGACTAGGCAAGTCTGCAAGGATGAGGGTGGCAGTAAGGGAAGCAGTGGGTACATTTAAGGAGGCTGCTAATAAAATACGGGCTTCAGCACCCTTAGAGGTGCTGAAGGGAAGAAATTTAGGCTGAAAGCTTTTCTGCATACAATAAGATGAATTTCTCCTTTGCCATGGTGCACCCTTTGCCACTGCAGTACCTCCCCCCCAAAAAAAAAAAAAAAAAAAAAGAGCTATGGGGCCATAAGACAGTTTTAGATGCTCCTAGTCCCATCTGGTGATTTATTTCAAACAGGCTGGGGCAGTCACATCTCCTTTCTGCTCATCTAGCCCTATGTGGGGTGGACAAAGGTCTTGGAGCAAGGATCAGGAGTTCAGTTGTGACAAGATGCAAAGCTGCTGATTTGCTTCCCAAGCACTTACTGCTCTGCTGAGATTTCAGGAAAATATTGTTGGCCTTTCAGTTGGGTTCCAACAGTGCTTTGACAGATGGTCTCGTGAGAGGCAGTAAGTGCCACCAACAAGGAACAGAGTAAATCCCTGAAAGCAAGAGAGTCACAGTTTTTCTAGGATAATTCATGATCTCTGGACATGGTATTGGAAACACAATAAAAGACGACATAGTTCATTTCCCACTCTTTACATTCCTCAGTCCAGCAGGTCAGGCTTAGTTGTGACTGAAGTTGTTCTGGTTTATAAAACTAGTTTTATTTTTAAAATCAAAGTTAATACAGCAGACAAATATCATACTGAATCCATGGCATGTCAGAGGCAAGTTGAATGACAGCCATAATCTGTCACTTTATGAAGCAGCTACACAATCTTCCTGTGTTTTAAAACCTCTTTAACCTTAATTTTGCTGATTTGAGCAGTCATTAATTAACTATGTATAGTATACACTGCTGATTGACCTGGAATTTCAGAGTCTATTAGAGTACATAATTTGCATTTACATCACAGTGTTGTTGAACCAAATCACTATCTTAAACTACAAATATACATCAAATTTTAGGAAATCAAACCAACTTGTTTACAGCTGTATATTTTTCTATTATCTTTATTTGTGTCACTTTTATTTTTGCTTATTTAAAACATATTCCAGAGATGGTTGCATCAAAAATGTTATTGTCCTAAACCATATTAATAAAAGCAAAAAAAAACAAACCCAAAAAACAAACAACCCCAAAAAGGGCGCCAAGATCCCCAAACTACAGAGCTTAGCAGTGGGAAGGATAGCTCACACTTTATTATGTAAACAACTGTAGAGTTAAATCTCCTGGTCTATGGCTCCTAACTTTACATTCCCCTCTTGGTAACCGAAAAGCCACTACAGATGTCCATGTGCTTTTCTCCTTGGTGGGGACTGTGGCGTAACCCGTGGTGAGGGTGTCCGTGCTCAGGCAGTCTACCGAAACGCCCTCCTGCGTGTGCCAGGCCAGCGTCGCACGCAGGGCTGGGAGCTCTGACCAGCCTTTAATGCACCAGCAAGCCATGCATACTTAAACACCCCTTTATTTTGTTCAGAACATATAATCTAGGAACTGAGACTGTTTTTTTTTTTTTTTTTTCACTATGTTACAGATAAACTGTGAGTGCAAGAGCAGACTGATCTGCTGACATGCAAGCATTGGCTCTTCTCCTGGGTTTTGGTAATTGGAGCAGACCGTAGCAACTGCTGCATTATTACAAAGACACCAAAGAGAATAAAGCAAACCCAAAAGGTAAGCTCTTAAACTATTCTAACTAAAGGCAGACAGTGATGGGACAAGTGGAGTGGTATTAAACTAAGACAGGAGATTTAAATTAGATGTTAGGAAGAAATTCTTTACTGTGAGGCTGGTGAAACACTGGTGCAGGCTGCCCAGAGAAATTGTGGATGTCCCATCCCTGGAAGTGTTTAAGGCCAGGCTGAATGGTGCTCTGAGAAAACTGGCCTAGTGGAGGACATCCCTGCCCACAAGAAGGAATTTGGACTAAATGATCTTTAAGGTCCCTTCAACAATTTCATGATTTTATGAAGTATTGCATAGCTACAAAAAGGACCAGAAGAAAAAAAAAAAACCAAAACAACCAAACAGGTCACCTCTTAAACCATTCTCACTGAAAGTAAAGCAAAAATCTGGACAGGAAGGTCCCTGGTTGAACTGCAGAGCAGAGCAAGGCAGCAGTGCCTGGTCAGCTGAGTTTCTTGAAGCTGCAGCACCCTCGGCACTCTCTGGCTAGCAGCAGCTCCTTGGCCCCAGCACATGTGCCCTGCTGAGATCTAAGACGCTTCTGCCCAATTTTGCCCATTGTGCCCGCCCTTGGGCCCCACATCCTCCTGCCTGTGTTGCTCCCACAGGCTGTGGCTGCCCCACAGGCTGGCACATCTTGTCCCACCCCGCCCTGTGGCGGAGGGCAGCCCACAGGCTGCTCCGAGCAGCTTTTCACAGCTCACTCCTTTCACTCTTGGCTGCTGCTCTGTGTAACAGGAGGCTGACACTCTCTTTTTGCTTTCCCGTGATGACAAGCCTGCAGTGGTAGCCCGGGTATTGGAAGTGGTGGCTGTCACATTTGGCAATGCAGTTACTATTTGGCATATTTTGATTTGCTTAATGCTGCTACAGGACTACAGTGGGTGGTGCTTTTGCCCATATTCAGGCAGAAACAAAAGCAACATGACATAATGTTCAAATATTGCATATAGTGCAAATTTTCCTCCTTTCCCGTCACCCCAATAAAAAACTCAAACCCAGGGTTGCTTAAGGAAAAGGTCGAGAGGTTTTGGGGTGTTGTTTTTTTTTGTTTGTTTTTGGTGCTGTTTTTCTGAGGGAAAGAGTAGAAATCTTTTTCAAAATGGACTAAAGAAATGCTAAAGAAGATGTAAAGCTTCAAAAGGTGGTAGAGACTTTTTTTCTCCCTCTCTCCCTTGATGACAGAGGTAATAATTGATAGTGTGTGCACACAACAGCCTGAATTCCACAAATTTTCTCTTCAGACTTGATGTTATTAAACAAGTTACTGTCTTGATGTTATCAACATTTTCTGCCTATGTAACATTAATATAAAATAAATAAATTTTGTAAAAATCAGCCCTCATAGCCAGAGTTATGATTTTAATTGAATTTGTGAGAAATAATGAATCAGCAAACCACTGCCATTTTGCTTTCCTAGGTTTAGTGGCAAGTTTCAGATTTTTCCTGCTTGGAAAAGAAAGGTATTTCAGCATTTGAAACTTCTCATCCAAATACTGAAATTAACTGCAACTATCAGTCACTGTGAGAAGTTTTTATCTATGTCACTCTCCAAAAGCAGTGGAAGTAAAAGTGCAGAAAGGCAAAGGCTCTAGAGTAAATTCTGACAGACAGGTACTAGCAAATAACTTTTTCCTCCTGTTAGCTATTAGAAGGTTGCAGCCTTTGATATGCTGGGAAGAGTGACCTTGATGTGTGCATCCTTTGAGCAGCTTGTACCAATTCTTCACCTGTTGTCACTTGGGCCTGGTGAAGCTGACAGAAATCTTTCCAAGGACTTCCATGGGCTTTGAAATTGGATGTATTTTCCAGAGGAGAGAAAAGAGCCTTTGCAAGCTGGGCCCTTGGTAGGATTGCCCCCCATATGCACCATGTGCCTGCTAGGGGGATCCTCACTCTGCCATTGAGGACGGTGGGGCAAGGGGCAAGCTTGCAAAAAGTGGCTCCTATTTTAGCTGATGTTTTGACTGAGTCTGAAAGGCTTGGAACTGAAGTTCTTCCTCAAGAGTCATCCCTCTCCCATCTCCTTCACAGCAGTAAGCAGTCTCTTCCCATATGCCCCACATCTGCTGGCTGAAGCTGGAAGTGTGCCCAGTGGTGACCTGTGACTTCTCTCTGTTGCTCCCTCCTGCTTTTCTAGCATAAAGCTTTGCTTCACACTGCTACTATTAAACGTTCATTACATTAACTTGATGGTAATATTTGAAGCTCTTGCTGCATAAAATCTCTTGTTGCGTCAATTCTACTGTTAGTAATTATGGTGCGGATCTGTCTTCATGCACACACTCTAAAGTGTATTTTTAGGCCTTTATGTTTCCTCCCCCTGGTTCAGATTGCCATCTCTGTCTCTCCCACTCATGATACAAGCAATAATTCTAAACTCAGGGATCTTTCTGCTGGCAGGAGAGGATGAGTAACAGTGACAGAGGAGATGAGAAAGCCTCCTGTGCCAATGTATAAAGAAAAGTCAGCATTTCAGATTTGAGTTGCAAGTCTCCTGGCGAGATGCTTCTGGAACCCAGAAACAATTATTCTCCAGACTTTATTGTACTGTGTGCTGGGTCTTTCAGCAATGCACAAGTAAATTAATTTTTTGCTCTTTGTTTTTTGGCTGTGGTCAATGTAACCTGTGGCCAAGATCATATATTTTACAGTGGCACCAGCCTTAAGGTTTTCAGGTTTTTTCTAGGGGTGTACCGGGTGCTTTCAAAAATATCTTTTCCCTTGGTTGGTTGATGTAGTTGTGCTCATCAACCTTGTGGAGAGGGAGGGGACAGTGACTGACTTCAGAGCTGAAAGTTAGGTATACAATGAATATTTAAAATACCCACATCACAAGGATCACTTTGCTGCGTGAAGCTGCATAGCTTCTATGAAGTCAACTTCTCAGTTTAAACATACTGCACTATGACCAGCAATTCTCCACAATACAGTACGATTTATTAATAGAAAATACGTCAATATGAGTTTGTCTTTGTACATGTTAGCAACATGTACAGTGAAACATTTTTTTTTCTCAATCTATATTGTTATAGTTCTTTTGTGTTATCTGACATAACCATTTATATTTTGGGCTTAAATATGTTATTTGTCAAAATGAACCTTCAGTGTTAATATACCTTTAAAATCATAGTTTATCTTTCAAATATCAAATTAATATTATTTTTTTTTTCAAATCAATATTGCTCATGTTAGTGCAAATTTGTTAAATCTTGAGATAGGTTAACCATTCCTTCCAGACCATAAACAGCATTTAATAAAACAGTGAGATTTATATAGCTCTACACAGCTGAACAAGATTCGAATATGAAGCTTGTTAAAAAAAAAAAAATCCGACATTTTACAGTACATCAATTGCATTTTATACATTGTTTTGAACAGTTTTGTTTCTTCTCTATTTCTGTGTGTGATCTAGTACAAGAATGAAGGGAACAATAGGTAATGATACTTTCCTCAGTATTAAAAAGAATGCATCATATATATCTTGCTCAGTTTGGCGGCAGTGTTGTATTTCCAAACCTGGAAAAGAAGCCAGGTAATTCAACACCTTCTCAAAACCCAGTACAGCAAGAGTGAACGTTACCAGTTGGATCACTTGCCACTACAGAAAAATGGAACCAAACCAAGACAAAGTATAGACAAAAGGTATTTTATGCCACATCATCAATCCAGAATCTCTCACTTGAGCAATGGTCATCATTTGACTCCAAGTAATTCCTAAGAGGAGCTGAAAGAGGGCAATGTGGGCATTTCAGTAGTTTGAAGAATGGAAATATATCCAACTTACAATAATCTCCTGTCCTAAGAACTTTGAGCAGAATGATGCATCTCCTTGGCCTGTTGACAAACCTGTGCCTGGAGAGCTGCACCAGCTGGCTGTTTGTCAGGCAGTCAAGAAGAACTTCCAGTTGCAAGTGACATTCTTTATTAAAAATGTTTTTATACTGAAAATGTGCTTTGTTCAAAAGAGCACTGCAAATGTCACTTATTAAAATCAATGTAATAAATAAAATATAAACAACCCGTGTCCAAAACTATGAATAGTATTTTTAGCTACGTCACTATACATCTGGCCCACTGTGCCCCTCCCACCCACCCTTTCTGAAATGTTTTAAAAATTTTTTTGCATGCTATTTTTCCCCTTGTTTACTACAAAGAGCAAAGGTTACATATTGTACACTGGGAAAAGCTGCCCAAAAGATTAAACTATAGTCCTAGATTACCAATAAACCAATTCTACATCACAATACCTGCCTGCATGAACTACTTGGGCTGCATTGTATAGAGCAGGTGATGACTTGTTAGAGACTTCTGCCCCTGCACACAGACAGAAGTGTGCCAGGTGATGTTAAAACTATTACAGTGACTAACCACAGAAATGTCTGCAACCTAAAACAAATTCCTTATTGGCAATTTAAGCAATTTACAACTAGTCCATTAGTATTGGGTCTTATGCTCTGAAAACTGTATGCTGAACTGTTTGTTGCCTGAATCACAGAAATGAAGAAATGCTTCTTTTTTTTCCTTCCAGCATTACATGAGCTACGATGAATATGCCAGCTCTTCTGGCCTCCTAGCCTATGTAGCTGTTCTTTACTTTTAAAATGAAAAAGAAAAATTTGCTGTCCCTTACACTTTTTAGAATTTCACTTTAAATGCAAATAAACGGTCTTTATTATCATATTTGAGGAACGTGTTCTGGGTATTGGGTTTTATTTTTGGTATGGGTTAAAATAAATGATTGTCCTAATGGTTCAAGAATTGGACCCTTGTGTAGTCTAAAGAGTTTGGAGAGTCGGATTAAAGTCTGATGGGTCTTAGTTTCTCATTCCCTCAGGGAGATGGCAAGATCAAACTCTACCTTCCTTGAGCACTTACTGGTTGGTGGCTGGAGAGTAATGAAATTTCCTCAAGAGGAGATCAAAAGATGTTATTTTAAAGGAAATGGCACCTAAGGGTGATAGAGTTGGTGATAAAAAAATCACCTACCCCTTCTTTTGTGAGCATGTGGCCTTGCAGTGTTGAATTGTTGTTGATGGTTACGGAAGTGAGTAAGAGAAAGCACATACTGGAGTTTCCACTGTTTAAAAGAACTGAAAATCAAACAAAAATTGAAGCTTAACAAGGAGAACATCGGATGAAAAGAAGTCTTACGCCACACAAACACACACACTCAAACACATGCACACGGAATACTATGCATACGTGGACACACACGAGTAAGAATGTGTATTTGTATGGTAGGTTCTTGGAAATAGACATTCTTAGCAAATATGGATGACAGATCAATTGTAATTTATTTTCTTTTAACACTGTATCATCATAAAGAAAACTGGTATAAATGAAAAAAATCTATTTCAAATATCTACATCTAAAATTTTAGGCAGTGAAAAAGCACTTTGTTGACAAGGAGTGTGGAATGATGAATGTTAATTGTCAGAAACTGCTGAATGCCTTTTTTCTGAGTTGCCACAAACAAAGTCACATATCAGAACAAACAATACTGCTAAATATTCCTTTTTGTTTTTTGAAATTTTTTTTTTGATTTTTTTTTTTTTGTTAAAACGCACCGGGGAGAAGAAAACAAAAAACTGGAAATTCATACATCTTTCAAAATTTGAAATTGAAGCAATATTTAGAACCATAGATGAAGAAACACTGTGGCATTGGTGTAATATACACAATGCACCTTTTTTTTTTTATCTGTAATGTACATCAAATACTTTACAACAATGCATTAACAAAAAGCAAGAAACATCTTGCTGTACAGAGGAAACCCCAAATGCAACTTGAAGCCTAGATTCACAATGAATTAGGATATTAAACAAGGTGTGAGAAGCTGTTCCCCATAAAGTATGTACGCTGTTCAGTAACTTGTGCTTAACTCTTGACCCAGATCCACTGTCATGTTCCTCCTCCTTCCTTCAGCCACGTTCAATATACAGCACTGAACTTTAGACTCTACAGGCCAACAGTAAAGTTGCCCCACACTGTAAAATATATATATATGTGTGTATATATATATATATATATATATATATATTTCTTTCTAATTACTCACAGGTTTAGCTTACGTATCTTTTAGCCTTCTAAAAAAATCTCTTAGTTTTTTCCATACTGGTTATCTGTGCCTTCCTATGGAACAGGCTTTAACAAACTAAATTTGCAGGAAAAAAAAATGTCTTGTGGTATGCATGCACATGCACAGTTCCTGGAGCTTTTGTATCTGCCCAAGTCTCAAACCCAGGAGTCGGGAGAGGCTGGATAGTGGCTTGTTTCATAGTTAAGTTCACTATATGGACGAGCAGCTGAGTAGAAGTCGACGTAGTTGCCAGTTGACTTTAGTCCCAGGTGCATGTTGTATTCACTCGCAGGTGGACGATGATGCACTTGGTCCTCAAAGAAGGACTCGTCATAGTTTCTTGTTGAATTCTGAAATGACTGATATGGTTCATAATCTTTTCTGCTGGGCTCCTGTGGAACTGGCTGTGTTGAAACCTGAAAGACAGTAATATCCACAGCTTGTTAGATACAACTTATTGTAGGCAACAGGATGGAAGGAGTACATCTCATGTTTCTCATGCTAAAAATAAAAATTTGTGCATCATATTAACTTCTGCTCAAAGCGCTGCTTTAACAGTGAATTAGTTCCACAGCTCTGCCTTGTAATTTTATTTCTTTAAATTTATTTAATAGCATTGTTATTTTCAAATATATGTATTATTTAATATTATTGCTGCAAAAGATGCTGCTTTATGTCAAAAGTAGTTCATGCAGCATAGCTTATACTTCACTACTGTAACTACAATCTGTGTGCAACTTGCAGCTGTATAATGCAAATACTGGTGACCAAAACTCAGCCTGGAAGAATTTGAATGTAATCAATTTACACTCCAAAGATGCTATACATTTTGCAGTTGCCTTTGACTGAAGTGAAATTTAGGGGAAGAGGTGACACCATATCCTTAAAAACCATTTACAGTCTTCAGGGCACTGACATGAGAAAAGTGCCCTGAAATGGGTTCTTCTGCTACTGTTAACCAGAAGCATCTTTTTAACACCTCCTCAATTCATATTGACAATGTTGTGTTGTTGGTACATTCCAGCTAGTTACCTTGAAGCTGGAATGGTTATGATAAGCACAAAAGTAAATCTCAGATGGTTCTCTAACCTAAGGCTGCCATCCTTTTTTTTCAGACATCCCTAGTGAATCTCTGACTTTATAGTTTGGACTTTATTGAAATCTGAAATGTATAAACACATGCTGACTATCCTAGAAGACTATCTTCTGCTTCAGGCCATGGCTGTAAGTTGGGCAGACTTTGTGACTGCAAAATGACATAGCCTGTCATTCCTCAGATGGTTATCACTGGGAATACCGATGCTCAGACACCAATGTGAGAACACGCTGTGGATCCTGCTCCTCTGTACATGTCACTAATGTTCCCTCAAGTTGGCAGGAACAGACACATTGTTATGACCCAAATTCTTGGTATTTGTTCAGAACAAATATCTGTATTGCACTTCATGCAGGGATTGAAAAAGGCTGCCTAAGTTCACTACTTTTAGTAGTCCTACAGGTGATGTTACAAGTTTCAGCCCGATATTACAACTGCACAAAGGAGTGTAACTACTCTAGTTTCTAGTTTCTGTTTCTAGAACTGCTATAGAGGAGTAACTGACCTTCAGTATCTCACTTCATTTCCTGTATTCAAACACAGATGTTTGATTTGGACACAGGAGTAAAATTCTACATGAAGCAATCAGTTTATTTGTGATGTTTTTAAATTTCTGGTGACTTTTTTCCATTTCCATATACAATATTGCACCAGTCTTTGGCCATCTGGAACAGTAACATTTTAGCCTCTGTACCTACCTGGTTATGTTTTATATCTTCAGCAGGCGCACCATATGAATTCCTGTACAAAGTTGAGATTCCAGTGTTCTGAGCTGCAGAGAGAGAAAAAGCAGATTCACCAAACATACCTCTTTGGCCTCAAAGTGGTATGTTGATGTAAATATATCATTATTATGGTATGATGTAAATACATCATTAAATACATCATACAAAGCCTGTTTTCCATACACCAAAGTCTTCAGAAATACCTGCAGACTTTTCCTTCCACCAAATGGTCATCATCTTTGCTTTGGTGAAATACATCTCTTTGGTATTAATTTATTAATGGCAACAAGCTCTATGTCATGTTCATAATAATCTTGTGCACTTCTTATATGCATCAACAAAATAATTTCATATAAAGCTAGCATTCAATAATAAATTTCAGGTTATAGATGGGCTTATGTAACATGTGCAACAAACAGCAGCTGTAAATATTGATATTAAAAAACATTTCAGTTCTTTCACTTCAGTTGGACAATGCAGAGTATTAATCCTACAGTCATTTTGCTTTCTCATGAAATTATTCAAGCATAAAGTGATTAAATATAAGTGACTAACAAGTTATGCAAAAAGTAATATGTAGTTATACTAGAGAGGTCTGGCCAAGATAGTGTCAAATACATGACTGCCGTCACTGCTTTCACTTTCTTCTCAGATGTCCTACTACTCAAATGCACAGACAAAACTGAGCTACAAGTTTGAAACTGGAAGTATTCCTAAAGAGAAGGAGGATAATGTACAGTCTTGCAAAAATTTATTTCTGCCCTCATCTCAAAAAACCCCAAATGAAAAGCAAAGGATTTTCCTTGCAAAGCTGACTCCACTGATCTGTCTGTTTTAGCAATGTAGCTGAAGCTTAGTTTGCTGGTAGGACTTGAAAGACTGTAGTTACTTCTCATATTTGAAAGACTATGAAGGTAGCATTTTGTGTGGCTGCTGAACTCTTTTCATGCATTATTAACTTTCCAGACATATTAACAAATGACTGAATGCTGCTATGAGGACTCTCACTATAAAAGAACAGGCTGGAAAGTAAAAATTGAGTAGCTGTGAATCAGAGTCACGAACGGAACTGAAACATGTGGCTCATGACTACTCTCAGGTCTCTGTGCAATGGCATAAAACCTGGAGGCACCAAGAGTGGCCTTTAATACTTTCACAGCACAAAACTTGTGATGACAAGTGCTGAGCATCAAAGCTGAAAGCTGGGTATGGGATCCGTGCTAGTCATATCACTAGGAAGAATCATGTTACCAAAGATGTAAGCACTCTTTCTTCCTTTGGCAATGTGCAAGCATGGGCATCTGCACGTGAAATTACCTCTACCTTTCCTCTCACCATTTAAACCTTCCTGGAGAAAGGAATGGCATGGCCTTCAGCCAAAGCTGCCTGGAATCATCAATTCTGGTCATCACATCTGCCATGGGTTCCATGCTGAGGCTACTATTTTTGTCAGCTTGATGCACTGCTCCATGTTGCTGTTTTACAGATCTCAGATGTTTTTTCTTAAAGATCTGCACTATGTTTGTGAAAGCAGGATAAAGCCAGGGGTTACATGGTGGCTTGATGACCTCTAACAACTGACAAAAGAGACTTTTCATTTCATAACCATTAACTGGTAGGGGTGAAATGCCTCGTGTTCCTTGAAGAACTGGATGCAATAACTCAGAAAGTGCAGAGTCCTGTGTAGGAAATGGAGAAGAGCCCTGGAGGTCTCCAAGTGCAGCATGAACCATTTTTTTAAGGTGGCAAGAATATAAACTCTAGTGACAGATGCTGGTTGGGTTAATCCAGTGGTAGAATTCTACCTGTCTGCCTACAGGCTGTAACAGATAGAAATAGGTGAAATGATGGAAAGTAGTGCTTGAGTAGTTTTCTTTGGTTGTCAACATTAATGCCAAAGAGTTGATCTGCAGAGGTTCTCACTGTTCAGGTTACATTTTGTTGCTTAAGTGAATTTTGAGACTTGACTGTTATTTCAAGGGGCTTCTTTATATTCCATCTGCAGCCTCTGTTGTAGTGTTTGAAAATACCCCTCCTGAAGTGTCTCTAGTATTAGAGAAGTTTGGATCAACATTGCTCTTTATGGTGCATCTCATGACAACATGACTCTCAGCAGTACAGCTGAGATATCATCTTTTTAATGCTGTTTTTCTGATTTCCTTGCTTGTCCCACAAAATGCCAGAAGAAGTTTCATTAATATAAATTCCTCTTCTCAAGATCTAAAGATACTCAAGTGTTTCAGATATCCATTTTGTAAAGTCCTAGTTTTTGAAAAAAATATTAAAGTGGCATTCAATGTACCAGACTGTCACAGATGGAGGAAGAACTTCTTGTAACCATTTTGCTTTTATGAATATATGTGCCAAGCTAAGTGGGTTTGAAGTTTCATGCATACAAGTACTGAGTTCAGACAGGTCAATGCTGTTCGTTGTTGTTCGATGTCAAGAGCAAAAGACTGGTACAAGGTGCAACTATAATCTGAGGGTATTATGAAGAATCTCATGAAAAATAACAAACTAGACATATGCTAATTTGTATGTTGTTCCTTCAGGCAATTGGACATTAGGAAGGAGGTCATGACCTTTCCATATTGATATATAAAAAGATGTGGTACATATGTGCTGCTATTAGCCATGACTATTATGAACCGAGAAATAGTTCAGGGTTGGTGTGTAGCTGTCCAGTGCACTACTGCGACATTTGCACTGATGTGCTCACAAATGTCACATACCAGACTGCAATTTTACGGTGTCTTGCATCATGCATTCCGCGATGGAAAACGGATAGTTTCAGCTTATGAAAATAGTTGCAAATCCTGTCTTGCTGATTTCATTGCAGTGATGGGGATACAAATTCAGAAGTTTAAAATGAAAAAAAAAAACCAAAAACCCCTCAAACCCTTAGTAATATTTTCTTAAAGCAATAAAAACAATGAGACATAAAATGCTTGAAAATAAATGCCAGGAGTTCAAGAATAAGAAATCTTGGCTAAGGCTAGCTTGGATGTTGAGGTAATTCTGATTCTGGAAGAAATGTAAGTCAAGCAATGTAGCTGCTAGCAGTGAATGCAACCCTGCTTCAGTGCCTGCTTCTGAACATGCAGCTGGAATCCCTGGGAACTCCATTCCCACTCTGCCATGTTTCAGTCAGCAGTTGACTCTTGCTGTCCAAAAGTAGAGGACAAATATACAAGAAAGGAGAGAATGAGCTAGATGAATGGACAGATATTGTGTGGTTAATATCCGATTGTTCCTGACAATATTGTACATTAATGATAATAATAAAACTGTAAAACAATCAGAAAGATAAGTCAATGAAATATTTTTAAAAATAAAAATAGCAAGAGAAGGGAAAGGAGTGAAAGGAGTAAGAAACAGAGATATTTCTGCAGCCGTATTTCCTCATAGAGATGTGAGAACTAGATGAAAATTAAATTAACAGAGAAGCAATCAGCATGTGTGTTTATGTGTGTATTTTATGCGGTCTCCAAACATCAGTATATGATAATACCGAAGAGTCACTTTCTGGCAGGCAAAATTGTGAGTATTCTAAAATGAATACTATGATCAACCTGCAGTACTTTGTGGTTCAATTGCATACAGGACATTACAGAAAAGCACCTTTCTTTCTCCCTTCTGTTCAGTCTTCTAGGTGATACTGGTTAAAAAAAAAAAAAAAAAAGTCACATAGTTCCCTATAGCAGTTTTCTTTAAATATGAGAAAAAATGAAAATTATGTTATTTAGTGGTTTACGTGACAAAGCTGTCATTGACCAAATTCATCCTCATATATCCCAGTCACTTGATTCATGGTTTAACATTCGGCTTTCAGATTTTGGAAGTGCTTATTCTGAACACATTTACAGGTACTTTGGAATAACAAGATGCTAGCCTTTTGCCCTCAGGAACACAAACTGATAGTAAGAGAGCACAGCTCAGCTGGACAGGTAGTCATCCTCATCTGGTATCACAAAATCTGCTTTTTCTGCTATTAGCAGCAGGTCTCCATTTAAAATAATTTAGTTCAACACAGTAAAGGAAAATGCTTCTATACCTCAAAAATCTTACGTAACAGAGACCATTACCTGTCACTACAACTGCCACCTTCCTGCACAGTGAAAAATGAGGTTGAGGGCACAAGAAAAGATTACAGAGCATTATTGTTTCTGAAAGTAGTAATAATAATAATAATAATAATAATAATAATAATAATAAACCTGAGCACCTGTAACGCCTGATGGTTTTTTTTGTGTTCCAAATATGCATGGACCTGCCAGTAATTTTAAATAACAAAAGTATTCTTGATTGATTCTCCACAACCAAATGAAAAATAAATTAATCTGAAGTTTTTTCTTCTGTTGGAAGAGAAGACACAGTATGTTGACAATGATGTACATATTAGTTCAGTGAGGGAACTAAAAAAGTAAAAGAAAGAGAAAAAAAAAGAAAGAGGCCCATGATGGTACACAGGAATCTTATCTTCCCTGTTCTGAAGGAAAACACCATGCCATAAATAACATTATCTTGTGCATTTACAGTTCCTGTTTTCCTAAATGGAATATAATAGTTTTTGTCTTAAAAATATACTTTAAGTGACAAAATTTTATAATTGGTTATTATTTTCTACAGAGCAGAGAAAAAGGACAGTACATATTAAAGGCATCATAAACCTGTGAAGAGGGCAATGAAAACTTTGATACTGTGCGTCTTTTTTTATCTATCCTCGTGAAATCAATATAAGTTATCATCTTCAGCCAAACTGTTTACTTCATAGATTCTCCATTTTCCCCAGAGGTTTCCTGACAAATCCTCAGGATGGCAGGAAGCCAACATTCCTACTTCAAAAATCCATCAAAAAACCTTCATTTTAGTCCCAGCCCAAAGGTCATAAAATTTTTAAACTACAAACTGAGAAGAGCTTTGGAGAGCATGGAGACAATCATGGATAAATTAGGACTACAGCTGAGGCTCTACACTCTGTGTAAAATCCGTAAGTCAAAGAAAGCTTTGTGTAATACATCAGCTTGGCACAAAAGTAGAAGAGCAGATCAAAATATGTGTGTGCCAGGTGGGACCTGAGAAAACCTTCATCTAAGTCCCATCCATGTGGATGTATCGGCTACAATGCACTGTCTGATGCACAAAATGAAACGCAGGCATCGCAAGAAACTTGCTACATGAACTTATATTAGGCCATTCAAGCAAAGTCAAAATGTCTCGCAAAATCACAAATACTGACTTTATATGTTTTTTAAAATAAAATATTTATTATTTAATAAGCTACAATTAAGTTACACAAATTCCATATTGAATGTTGATGAGCAAGACTCCTTCTGTCATTTTCTTTTTGTTCTTATAATGGTGCTTAATTTGAGCTTAGAGATTTGGTGATCTGAAAGACAGAAAGTTACCTGTTAATTACATATTTATTTGTACATTGGTCATGTATGACTGTGAAATACTACACTTTTTGATTTGAATTTGATTTGATTTTTTTCCCCTCACTGAGCTCAGGAGCTTGACAGACTATTGATAGCTAAGCATGATGCTAAGAGTTTCAAATTTCCTTACTAAAAGCCCACCCAAATAATTGACAGAAATAGTCAAAATACAAGACAATATCATGAGGAAAACACAATGGAAAAATCAAAGTAGAGTAAAGGTTGCTGAGGCAGTACAAACCTCACAATCTGAAAATTTTACTGCGAGAGAAAGGAAATAAGGGAAGTAGGAATCAGAGAAGAAAAACACCACAGTAAAAAAAGAAAATGAAAAGGGGTGTGGAAAAAGAAAAGCCCATCTTTTTAATGTGCGGAGAGAGACAAGACTATATGCAAGGAAACCCAAATTTTCAGCATGGAGACACTGTATTTTGGTGAACTTTATGATAAAATTTGCTAATCTGAATTTACATATACAGTTAGAACAAAATACTACTGTTTCTGCTTTTTCTTTTTCAGCCTGATGCTCTTATTCCTGAGATTCACCCTTTATGGATCCCTGACAAAACGGTTAACAAATGGTGCTGTCCTTCACAATCAGCCAAGTAAGGGCCCACTGAACTGTTATAGAAAAGTAGCTTGTGTAGTGACTGTGAAATACTCAAAACATTACAGACACATAAAATGCAGTACCTTGACTGAATCTTCCGCATTTTCCCGTAGTACCCCACAGAAGTCATTCAGGACACTACTAATTTCTGTGGATTCCAAATGCTCTTGACTGTCATTCTTCTCTTCAGATTTTCACCTTCAGGCAAATTAACATTCTATATTGCATTTTCACACAAGTTCTAAGGCAGCTCTTTAGGTTTTGATTACACAATCACATATAACATAGTAGATACAGTGTGAGTATCTTCATATCCTGAATACAGACTTGAAAGATGGATCTTATGGATGGACTGACGCTGAGTCACCATGTTCCTGGTGAGCAACCCACTCTGCCTCTGAGCAAGACCTCTACAGAAGGCATGGGAGAAGGTAACAGGCATTCAGACTTCTCACTGTGATTTTTTGCCTGCCCTGAGGCAGCATTAGAAGAGAAGGCTGTGATGCTTGGTACTGTATAAAAGTGACAAAAAGTTCAATAATGATTAGGGTTGCCTGTACAATGGTGATGGAGACCAACATGTATTTTGCAAGAGAATTCAGGAAGAGGTATAGCCCTGGGAAAAGCACTCAAAATTTCCTAATTACTGAAATGCTATGAGATTAATAAGCTCACTGGGGAAGAGAGGCCTTCAGAGAAACCTGCAACAGATGCTACAACATACACAGAAAATTACTGCATTTAAATTAGCCCCTCTACGAAAGTAACATAGATAAACTTTACAAAGAGCCACAAATTTCCAATGAATACTGACATACAAAATAAGGCAACTCATCCTGGAGAACATTCCCTGCAAAAGAGAGATCTTAGGGAGCATCGCACATGCTCAAATATACCAGTTAATTCAAAGTGATCAACCAACTTCCTTCTGAAATTAAAATAAACGTAAAATTGAAAAAGACATACAAAATTTTAGTTAGAACCTTTCTTCTGTGAAGAACCATGCTGTTCACAAACCATTTTCACATAGTCTTGTATTCATTCAAATATATCTTCAGTTGTATTACTCAAGGTGGCTAAAACTTGGGAATTAACCAAAGCAGGTTGACTCTTCCACAGTGCAGCAAGCCCAGACAATCCTATAAAATCTGTGTTCTATCACAGCTGGTTTTTATATAAGCTAAGCAAGCAAAATCTCACCTGTCATGGTGTCTTTCCTAGAAGTGTGTTCTCCCTTACTTCCATGGTAAGTGGCGTTAGTTCCAGTTGATTCATAGTCTGTTTTTCTTTCTTTTAAGCTGATCATTTCCCGAGGTGAGGCTGGGGCACTTGCTAGATAACAAAAATGGATTTTTTCTTTTTTTAAACATATATGACTGAATGTAGGGTTTAACTCTTGAGTAAGCATTTCAGTAAAGTTTGTATCTGTTAGTTCTCTAACAGGAAGCTGACTGAAGAAACCCTAGCATATTATGGAGGAAAAGAAGAGATGCTGTTATTTCAAGGGGAAGGCAAATGTATTCATTGGACAACCAACTGCAAACATAATTTTACTTCTGAATGTTAAATTTCTTTTTACTTACATCCAACATCTAAGATGATTGCTTTTAAGAAAAAAAAATACAACAGTATTTTTTTTTCCTCCTTTTGCTTTTCAGTTTCTTTAACTTGTCAAAACTTTCTAGTATGGGCACTTCCATTTTTTCCTCAAAATAGTTACTTTATTTCCATTGAAAAGACTGTTAACTTTCAACTGTATAGGAAAAACCCTTATAAAATTGTTTTCTTCCCTTTTCTCTTGAAAATAAACAAACCAATTAAATTATTTGAATGGAAAAGGGGGGAAAAGAAAGCCTTTTTTTTCCCTAGAAAACATTTATCAAAGAATGCCTAACAATTAAGGTAACTCAAATAATTCCTCTGTCTTGAAGTATCTATATGTGTGAATAACTGCCATTAAAGCAACAACTGCTACTTTAAGCTATTTTTATTAAAACTAAATCCTTCATCCCCTACACTCATGGTACAGCTAAAAGGAAGAAAGTACAGGTAACAAAAAAGAGAACTGGGGTTTATACTCAGGTCTCACACACTGGAGAATGTGGAGGTGATCATTGGGACTGATCATGAAACCTCAGATCTTGCAATGCTTCAGAAAAGGAAAAAAAGCAAAGGAAAAAAATAATGGCTTTCAAGTAAACTAATTACAATATATTTAGGTATTGGTAAATAAAGTGCACTTTTCCTGTTGTGGAGGGCAGGAGAAGGAGCACGGGGTGAGTGGCAGAGCTCCCCAGAGCCACGTAAGGGCACAGTGGTACAAACATTACTAAAGTGCTGGTGCTTACCTCCATTCACTTCCCTGCCTCTACCCAGGTATTTAATATGTAAAAAGAAGCTCAAAACCAGTAACAATGTCTTTGTTCAAGAACAAGGAAAAGAAAAAAAAATAAAAAATTTAAAACACTTTGTGGAGCTTGACCTTGAGGTATATCTTCCATCATCTCTAAATTATGTATGTCATTTTTTAGTTGAGCAACAGTGAAGTACTAGTACTCAACTATGGAGTAGGGAAGCACAAGTGATGTTGAATTCTGCTTCAATTGGTTTTGCTGGCCCTGGCCTCTGAATTTACAGAGCAAATGCATGACAGATGTTCTTTCTTATGAAGCCATTAGAATTGGAGATTGTTTTTAAACTGTTTGCCGATAGTGATGTAAATCTAAAGCTGATAATCCGGCAGATATAAAGAAACATGATGTCAAACTACCAAATCAGCTAATGGCAGCTTGAGTCTAACAGGGAGCAGGCTAGAATGCAAACCTTGAAAAAGCTGGTAGCAGAAAGACACATTTTGTTCCATGTACTCTGGCAATGGTTATAAACACTCTGATGTTTTGAACAAAATTGACTGATACAGATAAAATCTTCTCTCTCTGTTCCCTGTGGGAATTCCCTCGCTTTTCCCATGAGAGGAAAACTACTTTCTGGGAAGCATTAAAATGCAGAAGCAGCCTCTTTTAGAATTTTTACTGGAAGCACAGATGAAGACTTTGGTTGATATTAGACTGAAAATTGATGTAATTTTTTTTTTTGCTCTAATTCTTGAAGGACACAGAAAAGCCTGTTATCACCCAGTCCTAGGGATGGATGGAATGGTATGAGTTATTTAGTTCAATTCTTTACCCCAAGGTAGGATCCAGTATACCAACATAATTCTTGACAGATTTTAATCTGGAATTTAAAATCTGTAATGACAGAGCTCATGTAACTGCTCTGAACAGTCTGTTCCAGTGATTTCTTTCCTCACTGCTAGGAAATGTCTGACTCCTTGCTGCTCATTATTTCCATTCGTCTACTGTGAAAGCAGAAAAAGTTCACACCATTCCTCTTCACAGCTGGCTGTTACATGCTTGAAGACTTGCTGTATACCTCTTCCCAGTGTCTCCATCTCATATCGCTTTTACTTGAGTTAAACAATTACAGTTCATTCAGTATGTTTTCATATCCTAATTTTTCCACCTTCCAATTCACGTGTGCAGCTGACAAAAATCCCCAGATAATTTCTAAATAACTTTGGAAATTAGGAAATATCACCTAGTCAGACATTCTTCTTATAACTTATTTTTAAATTTTTTTTTTTTTTTCTTTCCTTTGAACATTACCTCCAATTTCTCAGGATCACTTTGAATTTCCATAATGCCCATCAGACAACATGAGTTTCTTCCAGGTTTATGTCACCCACAAAGGTAATAGATAACTTTTGCATATTATCTGGGTCATTGCTAAAACTACTGAAGAGTACTGGACCCAAGTGAGGCTCTAAGCACAGCATTCTGCCATTTTGGCAATAAACAATACCCTTTCCTTGTGAATGGTTTTCAGTAAGACTTTTATTTACCACACAGGATGTTTTCTGAACTGCTGAATAGCTAGCCTTAGGCTTTTCCATAAAAATGTTGTCTGAAAGACTCTTACTGATCATAGTATATTGTACTTACTGACTTTTCTTTCTGCAAATTCTTGTAGTAGGAATTCAGATGGATTTAATAAGAGCAATTGGTATTGAATCAATGCTTGCATTTGATATGAAGACTACCAGACATACAGCAACATATGTTATTATGTAGAAATAGATAGTCCTAGAGTTAAGTAATATCTTATGTTCCTACTACCTTTGAGCTATTCAGGTTCTGATTATTTGTTCCAGCAATTTTCTAGACTGACTTTGAGTTGACTGGTATGTAATGACATGAGCTCTTCTTCCTTCAGAAACAACCACTATTATTTGTGCTTTTCCAGTCTTACAATAACTGAGGATGGGAGTAAAATTTAATCCAAAATTCAGAGTAACAGAAGTGAGAGGATGGTTCTGGCAAGAGACCGAACTAGGATCTCAGGGCTAGACATTTCAAGTACCTCGCATTTACAGTCAAGATGAGATTTTAGAGAAGAAAAAAAGGAACAAGAGCCCTTTATGAACTTGTGTAATAGCAGATTTAAAAAACAGAATAGCATCTCTCACTGTACTTATGGCTACATTTTCGCATCTCCTCAGTTGTTGTTCTGCAGGACTAAGATGCAGCTTCTAGAAAATTAACAAAATAATTTTATAAAAAACAAACTATGGCATAATGGTAATAATACATTTGGCAATTTTAATACTAAACTCTTGGTGTACCTATGGAATGACAGCATTTGATTGAACAAGCAGAAGAAAGGCCACTGAAAGACTGACAGTGGACTCTGTTTATCTTGAACATTTTTCACTGGGAATGGCTTTATCTAATGAAGGTATGTTTTACCTTAGAGTAAAGTGAGGGAGTGATTACCCGATTTCTAGATAGAAAAATTAATTTGCACTATGGCATTTGTTGAGATACTTACATTAGTTCATTGTGCAGATCATATAGAATTGATAATAGCTGGTGTAAATATGCTATCAATGTTAGGAAGATGTGTAGACAAATCTGTGAAATTACATATGCATATGTATACACACATACCCAGAATAAAAGCTGACAAAAAATGTAATATGGGTTTTTAAACTTCTGCTAAGTGTGCAAAATGGTTATAAACCACATAGTGCCTTTCATGACTAGCAAAGTGAGCAACAGAATTTCCTAATGCTACCAATGGATGCCATTGCCCTGAGATCTAGACAGGCAATCCCCATCAAGAAAACATTTTGGGAGAATTTATGACAAAACATTACAGAATAATCTTTCTTCTGTAAAACTTTACCAGGTGCTAATGAAAAAAAAAACAATCCTATTTTGAACAGGTAATTTGGTGACAGTAAAGAATACACTTTGTGCCCTTCCACCAGAGTGAACAACAAATCCAGACGTCAGGGGAGATGGCATTGATGGGATTTTTACCTCTGGCTTTGCTTTGGCCGGGCCTTACCTGAGCGGTTGTTTGGAGACATGCGCACGGGAGAGATGGAGGGCGTGCGGGAGGAGGAGTACGGTCTTTGCCGATCCCTTTCTATTGTTGAAGATGAGGCTACGAAGTGATACTGTGACCATCCATCCTGCAACACCAAGAATCGAGACAACGGTCAGTGAAAACGCCACATGGTTCCCTGCTTTAAGCAGGGTATTTTTCTCTGGTGTTTTCACTACAGATACACCAGCAGACTGCTGTCTTCTTCCTGCCACTGCATGGTAAATATAGTTAGTGGTACAGGATAGGATGTGCTGACTGTACTGACACAGCAAGATTAAAAATAAATGTAGCAAGTTCTATAAAATAACACATCTCAGAAAGACTCAAATTACTAACACTGTTTTAGGCTGTTTGTTTAATAGCTCTGCCTTTTTTTCCAAACCTCTATTTTCACATTGCAAATAGCATTCTGGCTTGAAATATTTTCCATTTTATAGGGAGGTTTTGGAGTAAGTAGATTGGGAAGTTCCAGGATGATCAGACTGCACATCTATTCAGCTTAGTTATACTAACTGCCCTTTTGCTCACACAGGAGAGAAAAAGAATCAATGCATTTTCCTTGTTCCAGTTTTCTTCAAGGCATATTGAATGAAATTCTATTCCTTCTATTTAAAACTATGTTCATGGTGACATATTAAAAAAATGCAAGAAAACAATACAAATACTAGAAACAGCTAGTTCAAAAATAAAAAAGGAAAGTTTAAATAATTCATGTTTTATTTCTTGAACATAACATAATGCAATAATCCAAAATAATGTAGTTCGCATTTTTAGAAATGTATAACATATAGTCTGAAACTGTCATGAGAGCATAAACTGACTTCTTATAGTGTTCTTATTAGATGACAACATTTAAAATGTCTTCAGTATTGAGAGAGTGCAATTGTCTTTATCGGTGCTTAATGTTAAATCTAAATCAGTAACATTGAGATTTCCCAGTCTCACACAGTTTTAACAATACCCACTTTCTCTTGGGCTCAGTGAAAATCGAGTCAAGCACCAGGCAAGGTGCTAAACAAAAGTTTTGCAATGAAAAAAATTAAACATAATAAAACATTACCAAAAACCAGTTGGGATTTTCCTCTTGCTCACAGAAGAATAATTCATGGTTGGGGTAGTAACATCCCCTAACTCAGCTATTCCAGACATCCAGCAATGAATCCCACACATCCAGCAATGAATCCCAAACATCCAGCAATGAATTCCACGCATCCAGCAAAATGCCTTTGCTCAAGGTATCTATCTGACTTCATTTTATCCATAAAAACCATGGGCATCTGGCTCTTAGAAGAAGATGGGTTGAAAATCCCCTTTCCACAAGACTCTCAGAAAAGAGAACTCAGCAACACTGTGACACAGCAGGAGACAGAAGATACACTTCTTGTAGAGGGAAATTCTATAAACAAATTAGGACAGCCAGAGGTGACACCTAGATATGGGTGCTGAATGACTGTATTCCTCATGCAATGCATTTGTACAAACAGGGGTCTATCTCAGTTGCAATTTCAAAGGCAAAAATGAGGTCTGGGCTATGGCTTTTACAGTACAGTCAGGATTTCCCTGGAGTCAGCAGTGACTGTTTGTCCTCTATCACTCATGCTTAGGACACTTCACTGAACTGCACCTTGTATTTAATCACAGTCATATAAGAAAATATAAGGGAGAAATCTTGTTAATTAATAAAAAATAGTAAGAGTTACTTGAAAAAAAAAAGTTGATCTTTGACCACTTCCTTAAACCAAAATTTTCTAGATACAACATTTCCAATCTATATCCTGTCTCCAAAAAGAAGTTTCTACACAAACCACATCCTCCAAGCTAGAGGGAGGGTTCATGATAATGGAAGAAAAAAATCTGTGAAGCCCTAACTTCTTAAATCAAATTGGAAATTACTATACATTATATGTACATATATATAAAATACATGTATTTTAAAGAAGACATAATAGTTTATAGTTAGAGCTATAATGAATAGCTTAAGTCCAATAATCTTATCCAAGACTACAAGTAACACATACAGGCTTAAGTTTTTGTCTCTGGTTGACAGTAACTTGTGAATTCATTTCTCTCTTATGAAACTGAAGGAGCAAACATGTAAGCAGCCCATGCCTTTATTCTGATGAAGAAAAATGGTTCTTCTTTCTCCTTCTCTGGGGTTAAGGATTTTTTACAAGAAAGGTGGCTATATCTCCTGCTTTTGTAGTTTTCTACAGTAGAATTAATTTCTCTTAAAAATAAATTTTCTTTTAACCAGACGGAAGAAGGGGAAGCTATGAAGAGGGCAGACTTTAGATCTGACAAAGAGAAAAGGGATGCACTATTCATTACTCTCTGCCTGCAAAAGAAGAGACATCAACCATGCTTTCATAGAGCAGGGTAGAATGTTTCCAGTTCTGTGGATCTGGATACATACATGGCCAAGTATATTCTCCTTTTGCATTCTTGTTTCCCTCAAGTAAAATATTGTTCAGAAGAAAGTGACAAGAGTCTTCCCCTTCCTTCCATGGGTATTGTATACATTAATACCTGCAGCATGGTTCTAATGGGAAGTAGATGAAAACAGTCCTTGAGACCTGCACCATCACACAGACTCTGCAGGAATGGCACATGGCACCAGTTCGGCTGTGCAGGACATCGACAGGTTTTTGTCAACATTGCTTCCTCAGACACAGCACTGTGAGGTGCCTGAGCAGCAAGGAGAGCTTCTCTGGGGCACTAGCAATCTTTTCTGCAGTGGAGGTTTTCTCCTCTTCCCTGCAAATTTTCATTTTTCTCTCTGGTAACAATAGTGCCTATAATGAGGTCTTTAAATAAAAACTCTGCTAAAAACTCTCAAGTTGGCAAGCTAAAACAGTTCAATAAGACAAGTGGGGCAAACATCAAACTCTAAGACAAGTTTAGTACTGACTTGGCATTGCCTTTAACTAAACAAGGCATACTCCTATCACTGTATGACAACTTTCACAGTGTTTTTCAACAGACTGTGGGCAGGTCCCAGACCTCACGGTATTTCAAAACCCTAATACTATTTTCAAGTTACTTATCTTTAGCTCCCTTCTGCTGCAAGGAACAAACTACTTTCCTTGTAAAGGTAAACAGTTTGTAACAAATTTGTTAAAACTATACCCATTAACAATTCTAAAAGCTATTAGTATTAAATATTGAAACTAATTTTTAAGAGCCTAAAGCGGGTATTTTCAATTTAATGGCTAGATAAATACCACCTGACATGATGGCTGTTTTTATTAGTTTGTTTCAGGTCTACTGCCTGTAATGAAATTTAATTAAATTTATTTGGGTACTTAAAGGTACAGTATACATCAGTGTCCTGCAGAGAAGAAAGCTAACTCAAGACCAAAGTATGTGAGGCTGAATTTAAGAAACCAATTTACTAGCCACAAATGTGATCTAGGAGAGGAAGAGCAAGACAAAAGGATTTGACAAATTGGAAAGCAATTAAATGCAATTCTGTTACAGAATGGATCTATTGGTTAAATGTAATTTTAAATGTATTTTAAAAATTAATAGGTGGTAACTGCACACTACGGGAGGACAGAGAACAACCAGAGCACAGAATTACTATTATACATCCTTTCAACACATCTTCTACTGGGCATTTGTTTACATTTTGACTATACTGAATATATCCATTATACTTCATAAATTCCAAATGTTAAAGTTTGATTTAAGTAATGTGTTTTGACATCATCCTCTTGGACAAGCTGCAGGATTAAAATTGGGATGGGAGTTGGATGATCGCTATAGAAAATAGAAATGATATTGTAGTCTCTCTGAACACTTTTTACTGGGCTTAAGGGGGGAACAGGTTCATTATCTCCCTGCTCAATTCTTAGTAATTTTGAAAATAAATCATTTTCATCAGGCCTATGTGAAAATAATTATTTTGTCAGGATGACTAATCTTATTGCACCAAACACCTATTGCATACGTCTCATGAAAATATAATTTGTTTCCTTGATATTTATTTCCTTTTCTTTCCTTGATATTCTCTTTGTGTTTAAAATGTAAGGGCAAAATGGGAATCAGATTTCTATTGCGTTTGTAAGAATTTCGAATTTTCAGAAATCACTGGTAGTGGAGTCTTTGATTTGAGAAGATTTGTGGAGGTGGATGATATCAGACACACCATTTTCTCTCTTGTAGTACAGCAACATTGTGAAGACTGAATTAAGTCCTGATGGGAACTGACAACACATTGACCCAACAGGGAACCAGAGCTCCTGCCTGAGGACTTCGCTGACAATAGAGGAGTGAGGTGGCCAAGGAACGTCCAGGAGTCAGGAATGGTATGGTGCCTAACCTGGATACCTCACAGCATCCACTCAGAAAGAAATCCCACAAGAGTCCATGTGCTAATAGCCATGCAGCAAAAGTGAAAACAAGCCCTATCCTCTGACTGATTATGCTGATTCTATAATGTCCTAAGGTGACGTTATGGTGTTTGCATCTCCAATTGTGTGTTCTGTTTACGTTTGATATTATGTTCTGTGCTTTCAGAACTGACTCTGAAAGTGAAGGTTTGTTTTGCCTTGTTATCATCTGGTTCACCTCCCCCCATGGTCTGCTGTCTAGAAAAGGCTAGGGCTGGCTGGCTGGCTCTTGCTTTGCTTGCTTGCTTGCTTGGCTTGCTTGCTTTGCCTTCTTGCTTGCTTTGCTTGCTTCTGCTCTTGCCTTTGCTTCCTAGTTAGGTTAGCTAAGCAGTCCAATTCTTTCCCTGGACTGTTGCTTTTTCCTTTCCTCTTCCTAAATACCATCCACCCTGCTCTGGACTGGGATCTGGGAAACACCAAGGAACACCAGGAGCCTGCATTTGGTGATCTGCAGCAGCCATCCCCAGTGCTGGAGAGCAATCCCCAGCGTCCAGACCTGGGCGACCACTCCCAGGAAAGACTTTCTGGATTTGTTCATCTCTTCAGAGGGGTGAAAGAGTTTTGTTGTCATCTAGTGTTGTTAATTGTTTTGGTGCTGGGGAGTGCTTTGTTCGTTGAATAAACAGGTTCTTTTCCACTTCTCTCTCAGAGGAAATTTTTTCCCGAACCAGGTGGGTGGGGAGGGGCCGTGGGG